ACCGCACACAACACAGCTCGAAACGAGCCGAGCAAATTACGTGCCCTTTCTGTACGGTGTCCCAGAGAACACCCGCAGGCGAGAGCGTGTGAATTTTGCACTATATATGATTTGATATTCCATTGCTTTTTGTTATTTATTTATTCATTTTTATCTGAATGCAAGTTCAAATTTGCAACGAATTGAATTGACTTGTAGAAATGATCAGATTGATTGGAGATGTTTACTTACTTGTAAAAAATAAAGCAGTTGATTTGGACACATTCCCAACTTGGCTGAGATTTGCATATGATCCATATTCAAGAACATGGCTGCCTCACTCCTGAATTTTGTACGCCACGTATTAAATGATGGTATCTCAAAAAGAATCATAATATATAAAATGACAGGTGAAAATTCTCTTACTCTATGAAAAATATGCAAGTCGAAAATATGGCTATTTATACTTTGATCAATATTATATTAGTTTTGTGTAATGTCCGTCATCGATAAGACCATAAATCTTACACAAAGCAAGAGTCACAAAATCTGAAAGGTATATTGCTAGTACCACCCTTCAAAAATCCGGAGAAATAATTTTGGACCACTCCTACCCACGCCCCCAAAACCACAAAAGCCTATTTCTTCCGCAATTTAAGAGCTATAGTTACCAAACAGATTACTAGGAACCCTCTCTAATAATTTTTTTCGGCCACGCCCAAACTTGGACAGTACTTCTTGGCTACACCAACCCAGTTCCTTGTTACTCGTTATCTGCTGATCTAAATTGTGGTATCAAAGTATTTCGCCAGTCGGTTACGCCCGACTGCAACGTTCTATCTTGTTATATATAGTTCCATTTAGCGACGCATTGAAGGAGACTTCTTCGACCCGAACTTATAGTCCAATATACACAGAACTATATCAGCATATATTGGTATATTTATTCGGCTTATTGCTGAGTGAGATAATCGAATCGGCTCACTATATCATATAGCTGCCAAAGAAACAATCGATTGAAAGATTAGTTTTAAGTTTATAATTACGTCTATCTCGATCCCAGATTAACTCCGGTCTACAAGGGTATCTGCGAGGTCCTACGTATGTCACGAATTTCATAGTTCTTTCTGACTTTACATATATCATCATTTTATCGTAGCTGGCATTTTCATAAAAGTTTCCTAGTGTAAGTCACTGTGAAAATTTATGCAGTCGTAATCATCTCGCTGTTTGACATTTATATGCATGTAGTCTTTGTCAATCTCCTTGGTCACTTCGTGCTCCATTTAATTAAAATTCCAGCAACCTGCTCAGGTTTGTGTGTGCTTATTTGCCCTAAAGTGCTGTCACCTTAACTCGCACGCATCATGATTTATAATCCTGCAGCAAACAAAATTAAAAAATAAAACTGAAAAAAAAGACCGAGCGGAAAAACATAATCTGGAACAAAATGCGCCACGTACAGAGCCTTCTCATATGGAGGAACATCAGGCAGCGCATGCGCAATAAATTCGGTTTTTATGACACCTGACAAAATACGCAGCAGCCGATGTTGCAGTTGCCGCTGGAGCTGCCTCTAGCTGTAGGATGAAGCTGATGTTGTGGCCGCTTCAGTGGAAAATTGTTTAATGACTAATGGCAGTCGCCAGCGGTTGGGTTTTTGGTATTGGGAATCGTATTGGGGTTGGGGTTGGGGTACATATATGGGACGCCTTCTGCCGTTCGTTTATTGCCCTGTGTCTATTGAAGATTAATTTCATTTACACAACTTCATCGCCCTGGCCTGGCTTTAACACTTTGTTGCCGCTGTTACCGGCTGCCGCTGCCGCTGCTGCTGCTGCTGTTGCTGTTGCGTTTTGAAGTTAATAAAGCCATAAATATTGTCGTTGGGGGCTGTGCACGGATTTTGGTTTCGCTGTAAGACGCCGTAATACGCAACAGTCGGCGCAACAGCAACAGCAACAGCGTGTCTGGTGCGGCACAAATCGTTACGTGTCGATAGTTTTTTATGGCTCCTTTGTGAGTGCCTAGTGGTGTCCATCGACCAGGCGTAGCATATGGCGCAGATTAGAAACGTAGCTGATGTTTTATGAGGAAGCAAATTGCATCAGCAAGTGAAACCTGGCATGTCCATGGGAGGAGCTTAACTTTATTAAGTAACTAAAACGAGCATTGAAAGTGGTAAAAAAAAAATCAATTTAAGCGCGAATAAGCAACTTGTATGCCATAGACAATTTAGGAGCTATAGAATTTTATATAACTTAATCGACATTTTTTTATGACGCAGTAAATGTAAAAAAAGTTAAGCACCTCTAGGTTCACTAACTATTTTTATTGTTCAAATCGTGTAGAAATTTTGATTAGTTTTCGTGGTTTTTACTGCAAATAAGATATGGAGCTTAATAATATTTAATGAAAATAATGGATACTAAGAAAACTTAAAATTCTAATGTTCTTTTAATCTGCAAATTTAATACACTTTAGGAAAGTTTTTAGCTTTGTAGTAAGATACTAAATTGCACTAAAATTTGTGTGAACTTTTATATTTTCTAATAAGATATTCTGACTTCACAGTGACTCAACCCAATTTTATATAATTTCCTGCTGTGAATCATACAAAATACATACGAATTTAGGAGCTACATGAATGAAAGCCGCTTTATTATTATTATTATTAACAGGGGAGACTTTATGCACTGCGACATGTTAGATTTATTGTGCCACATTCTGAGACTTTATCTCTTCCATGAAGACTCATTCCTCCATGAAGGATTGAGGTTGGGGGTTGAGGTTGAGGGTTGAGGATATTAATGTATTTGGAGTTGATAGCATGTTTAATAGGATACTAAATATTCTCCTGGCTAAGATGATGATTAATGATTCCTTCACAATTATCACAAAATCGGCAGAGTTCGCTACTGACTATACCAAGTTTGGCGACTTTTTAGTCAAGAGATCAGTAAGTATTCAATGTCTGTTCTTCCACATCACTATTACTTGCTTTGGCTTGTCAGAGACCTGGCACAACTGCACCAAATAGAGCCCCTTTAGAATAGCTTTTGAAATGCCTGAAGCTAGTTTCGTAAATCCCTGAATAAGCAGAAGTATGTAAACAGAGCGAAAGGAATAATGTATCCATGTGGCTGATGAGCACCTTATCTGGCCACAAGTGTAAAAATACTTATGCGATAAAATGGTAGAGCAGACGCAATTAATATACAATTCCCGTAACGTTTATCCGGGCCAAGGCAAACAACAACTGAACACATGAGCATATGAAAAGGTGCTTTACAGTTCTTTATCAGAGTATTGGCACAGCTGCCAATCGGAACAGTTCAACGGAACAGGCGACGACCTTATGCAAAAAAGGTGCAACGTTTTCCAACAACAAAAACAACTCTTTGTTGTTCTCGGCGATGTTATACAAATACATTGTAAACGGAGTGCGGAGTGCGCCCTAACGGAACGTTGTCGAGTGTCTCGGTTTGGGGTGTATCTGTAGTATATGTGTGCGTGTGTGTGTGTGTGTGTGTGTGTGTCGGCATTCGCCTTCCTGCTTGGCGTGGAGTGAGACTATGCAAATACACCTTGCATACTTTCGAGTTGCCTCCTTCCGGTCGGAAAAGTGATCTATACTCAAGTGACACTAGTATTCATATGGGGTGATTTCAACATTTAAGGGTGGGGGAGGGGGGCGTGCTATGCGTGGCTTGAACTTTCCTGTCTACCTGTCAAGTTTACGCCTGACGGCACATACGCCCGATAAGTGGGCAAGCGAGCATAAAGCAGCTGTAGGGTCCTTGAAAAGGGATACCATGCAGTAGAGCTAAGGCTGCAACATGTAGGCTTAGGACGTAGGGGTCATAGGGGTGGGTAGCTTTGCGGACAGGTGTGCCTAAAAAATAGACGAGCCAGAAATTTGTTTAGACATCAAATGAATGCTTATCTATTCAACACAACTATTTATACTGGATTAAAAGTACAGTTTTCATTATACTACGGAGTGCGTCATATTGTACACATTCATAAATACCCAATAAAAATAATGCACTGAATTTTTTTAACTATCCCAAGCCTTGTATGCAAGGGGTTCCCACTATATAAAATATTAAAGTTTAATACAAAGAAAGCAATATTAACATTTTAGCTTATTGGTTAGAGATATTGCATGCTTCTACATTGCTGAACAACCTTCAAAAATATGAAAATAATGTTTTTCTATCTTATTAAAAGAATCGAAGTGATTCTTACTACACTGAAGTAATAACTGATTGAGTAAATCACCATCCTAAAACAACTTTCAAGCCTTGAAGCAAAGGTTCTACAGTTTTTTGTTAAATGCCATCATTTCTGATATGCTAATTGAGTTTTGGTTTAAGTTTATGATAGCCGAGCTCTATTTCTAAGCTGACTACAAATGTGCTTGTTGCCAACTACATTTCTAATTAGATATGTGCAATGGACACTCTTAGCCCACTCCAAGCCGTCCAATTGATTACATGAAATTAATGCTACCACAATTTGAGTGCCACAGCACGAACAATACGCACGAGAGAGTGAGAGAGAGAGGGAGAGAGAAAGAGAAAGAGACGTGAGCGCCCAATTGTGAGGAGACCTGGCGCACGGCTTCAATTGAAGTTCAATTGGAGACGCGTAGATTGTGTCGCCCTCGGTCGCGCTTTGATTTTATTGCCAGCACTTAACATAATGAGCGGCACGATAAGATCACGTTTCCTCCTCCTCCAAAGCAACGACGCCGACAGTTGGCGACTAGCGCATGCGCATATGCTTCCTGTCTGCGTTAGCGTTGCCGGCCGGATATTCCTTTAAGTACTCCTCCGCATTGTCATCGTCATCGGTCTGCGTCTGCGTCTCCGTCTGTAACGAGTGCACAAAAGTTCAAAGTGCATGCATAGAATTAATGAATTTTCATTGCGAGCTCCATTGAAATGCCAAGTGCAGCAGCAGCAGCAGCAGCAGTCGCAGCAGCTGATTGAACAAAGGACACACCACCTGTTTCCTTGGGCTTTTGTTCAGATTTATTCGAAAGGAAGTTCATCGAACTGTCTGAACATGGCAATTGCAATTGAAATCGTAACGCGCGCGTGTTTGCAGAGCAACCAATGAGAAGTCTCTAAAACTTGTAACTCAAATAGGCATCGTAGAGCAGTTTGGATTTGTTGAACCGCTTCTCGTTCTCCATATATTGAATTATATCCCTGACTTTCATATGCTTGATGCGTACAAAAAACTGACGCTTCGGCAGTTGTGCAGCTGTTCCAGCTCCAGCTGCGGGCAGGCCTGGAGCAGTATTTGGTAAACCAACGGTAGCCGTGGCGCTCTGTGGCTTCCGGACTCCCAAAGCCAAGAGCGCAGTCTTATTAGTTGACTCCAAACGTATTTCGCTCTCAAACGAATTTGTGGGATTGCGATTGCGCTGCAATTTCATCCAACGCCTGAAATGCGAATATATGTTTAATTGATGTTATATACACGAAAGATGAAATATCTTCAGGCTGACCAAGATTTAATACTCCAGCAGATATATAATAAGTTGTAAATGACTGAGAAACTTACCGACGATGTCCGTAGGCTGTATCGTCATCAGAGCATCCATAATCAGCCACCTCACGATCATCCAGGAACCTCATTGTCGTGCGCAAATCATGATGCAGCTCGCAGCGAGGATCGTCGTAGAGACTGTTGCCAGAGCGATGCTCACTGAACTCAATGACTGTCTGCATCATGTCCTTCAAAAAGGTTTCCGCGGCAGCCAATAGACCCTCCACAAGCTCCTCATTGACCACTGTTGACAAACCGTTCAAGGAGCAATACGTAAACAGCGTTCTTTCAATCCATTTCTTTTCTAAGAATGTCGGACGCGGCATGTCCATGAATTTGGGTGCTGAAACTGGCTTTTCGCCCGACTTTGGTTCTACCTTGAGATCATCGCTGCTGTCGGGCACAATGAGATTCTCAATGATGAGCCGCTTACCGGCATAGGGCTGCATGGGCACTCTAATCGGATGGCTGGTTATGTCAGTCATTGATCTGCAAAAGAAGAGTCAACTTAAGTTTTATTCAGTGGCAGCAAAGTTGCAGTCCATGGCACGCGCCTGCACCTTTACCAAGTTTCAAGTGCATAAGGTAACATATGCCAGCATGATCCTTACCGGTCGAGTGCACGATCAGTGACCGCAACAGCCCACTTGGGCAGCGTCACTTGTTCCTCTCCACTGCACAGAGCACAGTGGACGGTGCACAGTGCACAATGCGCAGTGCACTCAACCTGCCCACATAACACAACACATCTGCAACAGGAGCTAGAAGGATGTGTTATGCAAAGTGCACAGGAATGCGACAGGAAGGTGGTGGACTGTACTGGTCTGGTGTAGACTGGACTGCAGTCGGTGTCTCTGGCACGAGCGACTAATTATTCAAAAGAACTGCACATGATGGAATGCTAAACTAGGACAGGCGACCAGTCGGCTCGCGTCGGGGTAAGCGGATATTAAACAACGGCGCGCGACAGTCGCCCGTCGACTGTCGACCATCGCCCTGTGCCCCTGTCCCCCTGTCGCTTGTCGCTCTGTCCCGCACATTTCCGCGCACCACTGACTCTCTGGGCCCAGAAGGTCCATTCAGTCGTGTAGGGTGCTTGGACGCATATTAAAAACACTGGCATTACCTGCACTCGCTGATGTTTTGACATGTTGTTGTTACCCCTAGCTAGAAATTTATTAGAAATTCTGGTCAAGGTGCCAGCGGGTCCGACGGCTTTTCTTTCTTTCAGTCTTTGTCGCTAATGCTCGCCGCTCGTCCGACTGTTGCTCTGCTCCCAAACAGGTTCATTACGCGTGCCGTCTACGAGATACGAGGCGTTGACCTAATTATGTTTTCCTTTTTTTCTTCCTTTTTATAATTATTTTTTATTTTGTTAATGTGTGGATTGAGCACGCTTCCCCATAGGGGTTGCTGCGAGTTACTTACACAAGTTATACGCTCTCTCAACTCTAGTTGCAGAATGTAGAAGAATCAACTAAATTACGTCTGCGAAAGCAAAAGCTTACTTGGATTGCAGATGAGTTTAGTTTCAGCACTGTCAATGTTGCAATTGTCAGTCAGTTGAAAAAAAGTTGCATTGTCAATACTATTATTATATATACGCGATATGTATGTACACAGCGTATCCCTTAATCGAAAATGCATAAAATTAAGCTCATTTTTATCAACAATTGATCATCGCTATTCAAAAGTACAGCATGCTCAGCGTTTTGCAACACTGCACCGTAGAAATGCAGCACTAAAATTTGAATAACGATAATGCAGTAAATAGTCAGTGACTGCATCAATCGTAATGCTAACGGGCCATATTCAAGTCAGCATTTAGAAATGCAGATTGGCAATTCCAACTGCAATAGTGCTGCTTGCATAATCCAGACGAGGTTCATGACGGGAAGCAGCTGCAGGAGGAGTAGGCGAATGACGACGACGACGTCGACGATGACTTTGGCAAAGGAGCAGCAGTATCGTTGGTTCAGCACATAAACTAAGCTAACAATTCAACTAAAATGCCAGCTAGATAATAAAAAATAAAATCGAAGAAGAAGCACAGGGAGCAGCAGCAGCAGCAGCAGGAAAAGAGGAAGAAAACAGATCGACAACCAGCGCAGATAGAAAATGTAAATAAAAATGCGAACACTAGTCACTTGAAGGCCCCCAAAACTGACTGCCAGACAAACCGAGTTGCAGTTGGAGTTGGAGTTGGAGTCAGTTGGGCGACCACCCACACGCTATTTGCAGTGCATCCTCGCCGCCTGCGCAGTGTCAAATAGACAACAACAACAACAAACGAAGTGTTGCGTGGAGCGCGGGCGTAGCTGGACAGATAGACAGACAGATAGGCAGAGAGTCAGGCAGACGGACAAGCGGTTAGTCGGTGAACTGCAAGCATATTCCAGCGAATAAATATTATCATATGGAAATTTTCTTTCACAGCAATTACGGATACTGCCAAAGCGCATGTCCCGTGTGGCAAGGTGACCCAGCAAACGTCAAAACTTGTGCAGCACAGGAAATCGAAATCCACAACAAGTTGACGTTTGCCAAACGTTCGCCACACATTGACGATGATGTAGCACCACCGCCAGCGTCGACAACAATTCCGATTGCGAGTTGAGAATGAGACGTGGCTGCAGTCCATTCATAGATCCCCAGCATGTGGCAGTTGTTGTAGAAAGTTGAAGGCAACATGGGGCATAGCGACAGCCGCACACACACACACACACACACGCACACACATAAGCGATTGCATTCGCCTCCAGTTGTTTGGCTTTGCGTACCTGTTGTCTGATGACTTTAGGTGCGATTCGGTGCTGCGTTTTGGGCGCAGTAAGCGAAATTGCCAATTGCCAATTGTTGCGCTTTCAGTGGCAGTGGCAGCTACTGTTTCGTTACTGCCACACACCTTGCAGCGATTCGAACGGAAGCAGCTTGCAGAGAAAAGCCGCTGTTATACATACATTTATATATATATATATATATATATACCCTTTAAGATTCACAATGGGTAATTGGCAATGACTGCAGGCGAAAAAATGCATCTCTCACTTGATATTTCCGGAGCAGCAGAATCTGAGTTAGTTTAAGTAATGCTAAATTTAAATTAAAATATTGTTGAATAGTATAATCAAACATTTTCCTTTCAAACAGGTCGATCAAAAATTATAACTACTATTTTTTTAAGATTTTCGTGTAACAATTTCTTTATTTTATTAATTATTAAACAAATTTTGATATGAAATATCTTCACAGCTTAACACAGGGTACATCAGATTCGAGCACTCCTGGACCCCCGCTATGTGCAGCTATTGTTGTTGCCACATCAGCAAGAGTTTTAAAAGCATATTGCAGCGTTGCATCTTGTGGGTGTGGCTGATTGGGCGAAATGGATGAGGCTAAGACTGGGCTGGCCGCAATGATCAATCTTGACGTGCAGCGTTTATTGCGGATTCAGGCAGACGTTGTTAGCTAAAATGTTGATTATTATTATGATGAAGATGATGATGATGATGATGATGTGGATGTGGATGTGAATGTGGATACTGACGTTGTGGACGTGTGGACATCGCTGCCGCTTTGCCGGTGATTTTGATACTACTGGCTACTGGTTTTTTTTGCGCCGCCACTTAAGTGGGCGTGGTGGCATTTGAAAACGTTAGCTTCATGTGATGCATGATGCCTATGGCCTGCCCCCAATCGCCTGCTCAGATTTAAATATGAAAGGAAACGATTCATTCGGCTTATGTAAATGGCTGACAGGCGTTCTGTAATGTTTCAATTTCAGTTCACCTCAGATAGCTATTAAGTGTAAGAGAAATACACTCACCTGAGCCAAGCACCTGCAAACAACACACAACCTGATGTGCATCTTCTTCTCTTTATGGGTTTAGATCTTTGCCAAGAGCAGCGGAAGTAAAGATGACACACCTTGACAAAACACCTACAGCCTTATTGTTTCTTCCACTTCTAATTTATTTTTACGGCATCGCATTTCCGTTTGCTTCTGGGAAGACAAATCATCATTGTTCGCACAAATTGACACACAGGCACATGCAAAGAGTGCATTGTAATTTTTGTACAAAATGTGTAATGCAAGTGTAAAAGACAGTTTTGAACCTCTGAACGGACTGTATCCGAAAAAAAAGGCATGAATCAATGAAGATTCTTAGTTAACAGAAGAAATAAGTACTTATTACATTCATTTCTTAAGTATCACAATATGTTAACACCTGTTTCATTGTAATATATTTTTAAATTGCTCTCAACTTTATACGTATTATTATTCATAATTTCCTTCATTACCACTGAAAAACAAAAGTCGCACAAAAGTGGCAACACATTATAAAAGCATAAACAACGAACCACATCAGGTTAGCACCCCAGAGTCTAAATAGCTCCGATTCGAAGTTGCCAACGGCAACGATGGATGCACATTGACGACACGCTGCCAATGAAAATTACTCGTATTATATGAAAAGCAGGGAATTTCTTTATAAACATGACGCGCGTTTCTCGATGGCACCATAAACCGGACGATAACCCGCATGCGCCTGCGCCCCACGTTGACCCCCAGAGCGCCCAGAGGCCTGAAGCCTCAAAATAAAAAAAAATATCATATGCAAAATGGGCAAAGCGGGCAAACTTAATAGCTGTTAGTCTGCAATCGGGCACTGGACCCCCAGCCAGTCAACCAGACTGAAGCAAACACAAAAATGCTACAGTGCCCGACTGGGAGATACCCTGTGAAGATGGGTATATAGTTAAAAGCAGCCAAAACTTACTAACTATAGAAATAGTTTCTTACATACAGTTCATAAAGCCATTGCCAAAAATCTAGGAAATATATCCAATAATTAATTTTGTTTAATTTTCGGCAAAACAATATTCTTTACTTCCAGAAGTCGTTGATGCCATCTTCAGAACTTTACACCAATTTGCACAGCTATCTGATACCCTCTTAAGACATTTGAAATACAGGGTGTAGAACAAAAGAGTGCAACACGCCGACGAAAGAATGCATGGCCTGTGGATGCATGGATGTGTTAGATGCACGCCCCCCACATGGACACAGGTAAGGAGCGCACAATTCTTCACTTCTTCACTGTTTGTGTCAGAGCTGCCGTCCTCGGAGTTGGGTCTGCTCGTGTGTCGTCAACCTGTAAAATGTATAACGACAACATTAAGCTCGTGCCACCAGCTGAAGTTTAATGGTTGAGGCACTTACCGCTGTGGCGACTTTACTGAGTTGGCAATGTTGCAACATCATCTACACAACGGTACACTCGTGCTGCGGCAGGTTCATGCCAGTTCAGGCACGCCGACAGCGGTTGATCTGATTTGCCTCATCGTCGCCGTTGCCATTCAAAAAGGGAGGCACAATTTTTGTTGTGTATTTTGTTGTTGTTGTTCTTGTTGTTTAATGTAATAAATTTTTAATATTATAATTTTTGCTGTTAGTTTTTTTTAGGCTTTTTTTGATGACCGCTGTGAAGCTGGTTTCTTGGTTGTAGGTCGACTCGTGTGCGGACAACCTGTTCCGAAATTGTCGCCGGCTGCTTCTAAGTAGTTCAGCTGTGTGCGCTTTGTTTCCAAATCACAGCCAGGTGCTCGCACAGACCTCGTATTACGAGCTATGCCTCCTCCAAAAAAGGATCTCTGTTTCTCGCATTGCATTCAAGCGAAAATGCGGCAGGCAGCCACTCAATGGAGTCTGCAGCTTTGTTATTGCTCCTGCTCCTGCTGCTGCTGTTGCTGCTGCTGCACTTGGGCAGATGCCGCGACGACGCAATTCAAATTAGTGCTCAACACTCAGGGATATGCATTATCCTTCAAACGTTGATTTATAGACGCGCCGGCGCGAGCCTGCTCTGTATTCTTTTCAATTATATATTCGGCTACCGACGCATCGCCTGACATTTATTTGTTTGTTGTGCACACACATGCACATTCACTTTATTTATTCAAATGCGCCTGAGATGCATGCAACGAGTGCTGACACTAATGAAAATCCTGCTGCCTTCGGCCTGTGAAAACATCTGCGCGTGCGGCTAAAGTGCATCCACATTGTTGTCTCTGTTGGGATTCATGAGTAGTGCCTGGAAACAACAATGCATTGGTCCTGTTTGTTGAGAGATTGCTGCGAATAGAGTTGGAAATTGAAGGAAAAATCAATTACAATACTGTATAAGTAGGCAGTAGGCGAATGGTAGTGCTTAGTCTTATTTATTATTATTTATTTATTTGTTATTAATAATAATAATAATTGTAGAAAGTTTTATTCCATCTGCAGAAGATTTTTAATTATTCT